TGGTGATTTGCTCGCAGGAGTGGACCCAGATGAACTGTGGGATGAAAACTACGTACCAGTAAACGAAATCGAAAGACTGAGTGATGTAACCCTCCTAAATGAAAATATTCCAGATGACGAACTTGATGAATTACTAATGGATGCTGAAGCAGACATCATGGAAGCGAGGTTCGACAGGGACAGAAACCCAAGATACGATAGCGAAGCAAATCAATATGAAGATGAGCTAGACAGAATGTTCAAGAAGATTAAGGCTGAACAAGATGCTGAAGATCTGATGGACGAAGACTACCAAGAACACAAATGGATAACTGCCAATGAGGACATGGACTACAAAGACGAATACAAGTCTGAACTAGACGATGAAGAGACCAAGCAAATGATGTTAGACGAACTGGCAGCAGAATTAGTGGAACTTGGGAAACCAGACGAAGAAGAGGTTCTGTTCGAGTCTGATGACGACACACAAGAAGATGTGGAAGTTGAATCAGAAGAGGAAGATGGTGTCGCTCGCGCAGGAGTGAGATTCGCGGACACAGATGATGATGAGTCCAACACTGAAGGAATTGTAAGAAGCTACAGTGACGACAGCGTCGAAGTTGGAGCAAAACGGGTACTTCGCCCAAGACACAATCGATCCTACTTCTCACAAGGGGCTAAAATGAGACCCACTGAGAGATACAGAAGAGAGAAATCAAGATTTAGACAGGCATACCTGCAAAAATGGAATCCGCCTGTGCCAAACGTTCTGAGAAACAGGCATGCGATGAGAAGAAAAGCACGAATGAAAAGACTCCGAGTATCGCTGTATCAAGCGATTAAGAAACGAGTTATCACGCGAGGAAATGGAGCACAGTTGCAAGGAAACCTTAAGCACGAGCGTTCCATCCGAGAACGCGTGCACAATTTGGCATTCCAACAAGTCGGGAACACAAACAAAGGCGAATATGACGCTGACGAAGCGTTGGTAGTTGCTCGTGTTATTCAACAAATACGCGAGGGTGTCAACGGTGGTATCAATGGACAAGACGGAGTCTCGTTCATTCAGCAATACTATCTGAATAAAGGACTGAAAATATTCAAGGAGCGAGGTAAAGACGCGGCCATGAAAGAACTTGACCAATTAATCAAGCGCAGTTGCTGGACACTGATCAGTATTGAGAAACTGAAACCGACCGAAAGAAAGAAGGCCGTAGATGCGATGATGCTACTTGCCGAAAAGAATGATGGCGTAACAATCAAAGGGCGGTGTGTATTCAAAGGTAACGAGACCCGGGATTGGTTGTCTCGTGAAGACACTGCAAGTCCCACAGCTTCGCATGAAGCTATTATCTGCACGGGTGTAATTGATGCCCATGAAGGTAGAAACGTCATGTCAATGGATATACCTAACGCGTTTATCCAAACATTAATGCCCGAGCAGGACGAAGGCGAAGATCGAGTAATAATGAAGATTACTGGGCTGCTGGTCGACTACATGATTGACCTAGATCCAACGTATCGGGATTTTGTAGTAATCGATAATGGACGTCGAGTGATCTATGTTGTGATCCTCCGTGCTATTTATGGGATGTTACAGGCTTCGTTGTTATGGTACCGAAACCTGAGAACATCACTGGAAGAATACGGATTCGTGTTTAATGTATACGATCCGTGCATTGCGAATATGATGGTCAACAAAAAGCAATTGACTATCAGGTGTCATGTTGATGATGTGCTAGCGAGCCACATGGAACAAAGAGTTCTTGAGGATTTCTTTACATGGATAAATGAGAGATACGGAGGACTAAAGGAAGTGACTTGCACACGTGGACGAGTTCACACCTACCTGGGAATGACATTGGATTATTCAAAGAAAGGCAAGCTGAAGATTCGAATGGACGATTATGTTCAAAGAATGCTTGACGAATTTTCTGTCAAGTTTAAAGTGGATGACAAACAGGAAACACCTGCTGGCAATAATTTGCTGGAGGTAGGAAAAGGAAAACTATTGGACAAAGATCAACAGACCGAGTTTCACCGGTTTGTTGCAAAACATTTGTTTTTGACCAAACGTGCGCGTCTGGATATGCATCCGACGGTGGCAATTTTGGCATCACGAGTTCAAAACCCAAATCAGAGTGATTGGCATAAACTCGTGAGACTTATGAGATACATGCACTCTACCAAGAAATGGCATCTCACGCTGAGCGCTGACAACCTTCGTGTAATGAAGTGGTATGTTGATGCGTCTTTTGCGGTTCACCCTGACTTTAAGAGTCACACAGGAGGAGTGATGACCATGGGTGGTGGAGCCATGCAGGCTATGTCCAAGAAACAGAAGTTAAACAGCCGCAGCAGTACACATGCGGAACTAATCGGAGTAGATGATGCAATCACACAAGTGTTGTGGACATGCATGTTCATGGAAGAACAGGGTTATCCGATTGAGAAGAATATCTTGTATCAAGACAACATGAGCTCTATTCTCCTCGAAAAGAATGGGAGGTCGAGTGCAGGAAAGAGAAGCCGCGCTTTGAACATCCGCTATTTCTTTGTCAGTGATCAGGTTGAGAAAGGAAATCTTACGACCGAACACATGCCGACCGATGACATGTGGGGGGATTATATGACGAAACCTTTGCAAGGGGAGAAATTCCGCAAATTTCGGGAATTGATCCAAGGGGATAAGGAAGATTAGATATAACCTTCTTGGGTTATATATACACGTTACATATTGAAAGAAAGAAGATTCGTTATCGCAACTGTAGTCGTCGATACGACAGGAGTGTGTTGGTGAAATGGGATCTTGATAGATAAAAGAACAGTCGAACATGTCGGACAGTGAAGTCGGACATTGATGATATCGAACACGGACAGAAGTACGGTTCGAGTACGTACAGAGATGGATAAGTATTGAAGGTAGATCTACTCTGTGACTAGTTCGTGAAGAACATGTGCGTATGTGCTTCATACGCCGCGACAGCTGGTGAGAGCTGACGCAGATGGCTTCCGGAAGAGATTTTTTGTACCTGCTTGTGGAGATCATTGTTGATCGACTTCTGGCAAGAATAGCAGTAGAATAAGATCTAATAGGAAGTGGTGAGACTGTTCATCCGCAGGTTGAAGCCCAGCATCACTGGCACCTGTTCCTATTGTAGGCAATCCATAGCCGACGTAGATTCAAGCTCAGTATACTCCAGAGGTAGCTAGAGGGTTGAGGCTCTCATTACAGCTACGGAGTTGATTATCTGACATATGTGATGTAGAAGGTACTGTGAGGTTGCTTCTTGCCAGGCTCGGTCTGCTCCTTTGCACTACGTTCAAAGCCAGCGGATATAGCAGCATGGTCCCCTTTCATCAACTTCATCCCTTTGCTGTCCACAAGCGTCGCACTGGTGACAAGGCCATTGGTGAAGTACTCTTGGAATGCAACCTCGATACGGAGTCGGCGAGCCGTCTCCCATTCTTTCTTGAAGGAACCGATGGTCACCATGCTGAACATCAGAAACCGATGCATGGTCACAACAACACTCTTAGTCTTCTGAGTGCCTGGAACATACTCAAAGTGGACCCATTGTGAGTACAGGTGTGGAGCTGGAGGAGAGTCAAGAATTGCTTCCGCCTTCCCACCGAGCTTTGCAATCGCGTCATTCTTCTTTTTCATTGTTGCGCTCAATGAAACTTTTCCACCACTTCGTAGCTGTTTTGCTGGTTCTGCCATCTTCATGATTTCTTTTGCTTTTTGATTGAAACTTGGCCTGGTCATATCAAAGCGGATCAAAGGATGTTGGTTAGCAAGGGATTTTATAATCTTGTAGTGGGCCGATCCACCAATCTTGTCATGCTAAACAAATGGATGGCTGCTCACCTCACAGTTGTAAAATAGAAATATCAATTGTTCCTGTTCCGGAAGGTTTGATAGATCGCTTTGTTGTTTGTCAATAGTTGACATTGTGAGGTGAGCTTCGGAGGTTGTGAGAAAAATCACCTCATCAGTTTTGTTTGTGTTTTAGATTGCGGGATGTCAATCTTGCGTCTCAGGATGTCATTCTTGTGTCTCAAACGTTTTCCCCAGAATTGAACTTTATTTATGTTCAACTACAAATCTATATGATGTTCATTCATTTTTCTATCGCCCAAAAAGCTTCACATAATCACTTTGACATCAATTCCTGGATCGTGGCTCTCTCATCAGTGGCAGTTGAGGTCCGAATGGAATCAATTGCCCAAAGCAGTCTTCCCTTCTTCATCACACAAAGCCAACAAGACCAACAATGCCAAGGACCAAGTGCAGTAAAGAATATAACCCATCCGTCATGGATCGGTATTGCAAGATTGATTCTGACGTTGACAGGGAAATCTTCTTCAACTACTACCTTGGCTTCAACTCCGGTGGAAAGCAAGGGTACAACATCCTCAAACCACCTGGCAGTACAACTCACCGACGAGGAGTTGG